TAGAAGTACTTATAGTACCTTCCTACTGGTAGGATTGGCTTAATGTCTACTCAAATTTCCACCTGTAGAATGATTAACAAATTCATTTCATGTAAATGATGAATCCTAAAAGTTATCTTTGGTTAGCTTTAATAAAGGCTTGACACCATAAAGAAACAAGTATGAGTTATTTACTGTCCCTCTATAATAATTCAGATCAACCGGAAATGAAAGGACCAATTCTTGGAATTGAAGTTTTAGAGGGCACTCTCTTCACATGGTTTTCATTGTAGTTTTTCTCTTCATCCAATTCTTGTGCAATGCTATCAGCTGTGCCATCCTTTCTGTATCCTAATATGAGACTCCACACTGCTGGTGGAGTAATTGGACGGAGTAATACAAGCTTGGAAGGTGCTATTTTTTGGAAACACCACTTGAGGCTCTCTCTTTATTAACATCTCTGTGATTACTTGACTTCTAACACTTGTGCCAGATACAGAATGTACAGGACTTCTCATGGGGCTCACTTCAACACTCTTGTCAGGAGAAAACCCTGGAGACTCACCATAGTCACTTGGTGTTTTACTTATCTGTTGGCAATGAGTGATTGGTTTGGGGGTTGTAATTCGTAGAAATTCCCTTTCTTCAAATGCTGGCTTTCTTGTAACTTTTTTTTCATACTATATATGTAGCATAAAATGTAGAAAAGAAAATGTTACAATAAATTTTTAGAAATTTTTAGTCCAGGCTTTGGGTTTTTTAAGGGTGGATATTGTTATCCAACACATCAATAACTATCCAGTGGATAACTGTTATAAAACCAACTATACACTGTTATAACTTGAATTGAAGATCATCGATATTCACCTGTTGCACAACTGTGATACTCTGATACAGCTTGTTGATGATACAGTAAACAGAGTTACCCCAGTATGTTTCATAAACATTAAATCCACATATTTATTGCAGATGAAAGTTTTGTGCTATTGTTTGCTTTCCTTTACCAACTAAATCCAGGAAGCGCCTACCCTCCGATGTGAAACAACTCTTATCAACTCTTACCATAATCTGTTAATTACATAGAAATGTCAGATTGAGTTAGAAGTGTTGTTCCGCCAGTGTAGCTAAAATTTCCACGTAATTCACAATTTCCATGAAGTGAGTTAATTTTACTGTGGTGTTAATCTTAGAACACGTCCACTTATGAGCCTACGAGTTAAATTATTCAGGTTTAAAGATGACATGAAAATCAAAATGAAAACGTTATCTTCCATAAAACCAGAAATATTGCTCAGTTTTTCAATGAAATTGTAATGTTGGTCTTTTAAAAAGAAAAAAACTCAATGATCAAGGCTTATACTTACAGATATGTCTGAGTAGCTTTTGTTACATCGTGTCGAAGGCTTCAAATGAACGCCTAAAGGTCTAGTCTGTAAAACAGAAAAAAGTAAACATCAACGACTACTGAAACAACGACAGCAAGGGGTGAGAACGCAAATGAGCAAAACACGGAAAAGTACTCTACAATTAATGGCTTACCTTGGATTTATTTGGGCGGCCGGCTTTTGGCACAATGCGAGGAGATTCAGTAGAACAGTCAACTTTGAGTTGAACTTTTTTCAGTTTCCCCTTGTTAGATTCCGTTTCAGGGGCAGTGCCGTTATCTTTTTCCCCGCAATCCAGACCAGAAGTGGTCACGATATTTTCTGTACGCGCCTGGGGTCTGCTTTGAAATTCCAGATTCGTCACAAATGTTCTTTGTTTTCGTTGGTCCGGTTTTTTCTCCGCCGTTGACGCTGTCTTTCGGCTCTTTTTCGAGTCATTTTGTTCAGGCAAGGTTCTTGGGCAAGGTCCAACTTTCAAGACACCGTTGTCACAAGTACTTTTCTTGTTAGAGATGC